GTCATTCATTAGATGCATTAAACATTATTCCTTAAATTGATAATTTCCTTTTAATGAGAAATTCTGGTTCAAAATATGTTCACTAACATTTGATAACTTTTCGTTTTTAACTGACTTCATTATTATTTTTTATTTATTTCAGATTTTTACTATGGCTGCAAGTATTGCACCGCCTTCTCTTCAACGAACGAACAGTAATGGGCAGTTAAACGTTTACATATTATTTCAAAATAAAATAAATGATGATTTATTAATTGTCTCTCAAGATAAATTGCCACCAGCACTACGCACTGGAAAATTGGTTCTCAACCAAAGAGTTACATTTCGTGATGAACAACGACGTAATGTTGAAGGTGGGATAATTTACATGCGTACGTATTCTATACTTCTTTTCGACTTTGTTGCATAATTTATTTTTCAATAGATCATAGTCGAGACAATTGTATAGCCAAGAAAAAAGAGTTGCTTGAAAAGAGAAGCCAACAGCAAAAAGAAATTGGAAATAAGTCATTACATGTAACCAATTTGTTTGATTCATATGCTACTGCATCAACAATTACTATTGGAGATAGATCGTCAAAAGATGTTATAAAAAAGCCGTCAAAGATACAGAAAAAATCAAAAACTATTCAATATGATAAGAATTCAACATTGTTATCGTCGAGATCATTATTACATGATTTGTGTGAAGATAAAGAAGATGAAGAAGATAATAATGATATCACAAGTGATAGTATTGAATATTCCTTCTCATCAGCAGTACGAAAACCAAATTCAGAGGATGCATTAAATAAAACTTTACTCAATACTATTGAACAAAATAACGACAATAGTATTTATTTGGAACGAATTCAAGATCTATGTCTTAAAGTCAAACAACAAGCGAAAATAATTAAACAGCAAACTGTAGAAATCAAACGATTACGTTCAACTACCATTGGTAATGGACAACAATAGTTTTATAAAAAAAAAAGGTTTTTGTTTTTCTTTTAGAAATTCCAAAAGAACCACTTATACAAGGATATATATTGTATCTAGGTGACAAAGTACGACAACAAACATCGTTACACAAATATGAAGGCAATTTGGAAAACGATGCAATTCAATTAGGATTAACTATTGATCAATTGAATGAAATACTAAAATCAAAAGGTGGCATTACGACTATTGCTCGTGATTTATTCAAAAAGATTGTGCCAGAATTTCGTCGACAAGTTGATAATTGGAATCAATTAGAAGAGGATGTGTTGCTTAAAGAAAAAGTTTTAATTGGTATGCCAAATAATAAATATTGTGTTTAATACTATATAATCGAATATGCTTCTTTATTCTTTTAGAATTCTTAGAAAGGTACTATGGTGCACTTCAAGCCAATCCAAAACAAATTCATACAAGTCTTGTTGGCTGCCTTCGTAATCAGCGACACCTGAAGAAAAAGGAAGGTGAACAATTATGTACACCAGATAATGATGAAAACGAACCTAACAGTATTGAACATTTATCAACTCACGATTATGATCGTTTTCGAAGTGATGATGCACTTTAAATAAAAAATTTTAGATTATTTATACCAGTAAATGTTGCTTACAGATCATGACTTATTTTTTGTTTTTATTTTGTTTTTGAAATCGTGTGAATTATGTACATGAAACTATTAACTATGT